GGCTTGCCCCAAAGATGCTGTCTCTTGCCTTGCTCTCAGCGGCAGACACTGAAGTCTGGACAAGGAGGCTACCCAAGCTGCTCAGGCTCCTCTGAGAGAAAACAGTGGGCAGCAGTCCCTGGGCCTTTGGCTCAACCTTGTCCTCGGGCTGCTGTGGCTTCACAGGCAGCTGAGAAATCTCAGCCCGCCCTCTCCTCCCGTACCCACATCCCCTCCGAGTCGGGTCCTGGACAGCAGGCGGGATTTCTTTCCATCTCGAGTCAGTCCTTCTCCATATATATCTGCCACACCCCCCTCTCGCTCTCTGCAGACCAGATTTCTAGACTTCTCAGCTCACAGAGGGGAAGAGGAACACCTTGCAGCTCCCACATTTACATGTTACAGCTTCATCCAGCCACAGAGCCTGACTTTCCTTCTCTCTCTCACATCTGGTTCCTAATTGCCATGAGAGAACATCTGATTGACCTGGCTTGGATCAGGTGTTGTTCTGTCCACTCAGCTAAACATGCAGTTCGAATGTGGCTCCTAGAGACCCACTCAGCAGATCAGGGACATTGCCCAGAGAGAAGTGAGTGAGTGACTTAGAACAGTAAAAGTCCGTGGCAAGTACTGCTGGAAGGGACGTCCCAAGGTCCAGCAGAGCCTCAGGGTGGCAGCTTCCTGTCTACAGATGAGGTCAATCTTCCGAAGTGGCTGGGACCAAGCTCTGGCCTAATGGGACAGCTTCCCATTAAGGTTTGCTGGTACAGGTGGACACATGGTTGATGAACAGCATTTCCTGGGCCCTTCCACAGGCCCACTCCTACCTCAAGGGGCTCTGTGTACTTGACATAGAAGAATGGGGTGGAGGACCCTACTGCTAAGACAAGATTACTAAGACCCCAGTGTAATTATTATCCAAGACTTCTCCCTATTCTGCAGCTTCCTAAACCAGAACAGGGACGCGGGGCTTTCTGAAATTTAATCTCCGTGATGCTACCTAGCGTGTACCTAGAAAACTGCTGAGGGGGAGATGCCTTTCAGACCTGCCTTGGCTAGTCTGCGTTCTCCTGATGCTGTTGGCCCAGGCAGGACCCTGGCTGCTTCTGCCTCGACAGCTCTATCCACTCTTCCTCTTCCTAGTGTTGTGACCTTGGGCAAGTTACTCCACCTCTCCAAGCCTCAGATGCCTTATCTATAAGATGGGGTTCGGAGTAGAGCCTGCCTGGGGCGCCTGGGTGTCTCAGCCAGTTAAGCATCCAACTCGTGATCTCAGTTCAGTTCTCGATCTCAGGGTTGTGAGTTCAAGCCTTGCATTGGGTTCCCTGCTGGGCACAGAGCCTACTTAAACAAACAGAAAAATAGTGCCTGCCTAACAGTATTCCTTATTTTCAGGATAGAAAATCCCAGTGTGATTAGACAAGATAATAAACAAGTACTGCTTAGCACATTGTCTAGCACCCATCATCCCCATCACCCCCCCATCATCCCCATCGTTCCATCCTCATATCCCCATCATCACTGTCATTTCATCATTCCCATCAACCCCATAACCCCATCATCTCCGTCATCCCATCCTGATCATCCCCATCATCCCCATCATCTCCATCATCCCCATCATCCCATCCTGATCATCCCCATCCTCTCCACCACCCCATCATCATCACCATACCGTCATTCTCATCAGCCCACCCTTATCATTATCGCCACTTCCACCACAATCATCATTTTGTGCAGCATTTGGGACTGAAGTGTTCTACTTGGTTGCCAGCCTCCACCTTCCCCAAACCAGACTTCCCATGAGTAGGGTTGGCCTCTGCATCCTTCCTCCCCGCCACTGCCCAAGATCATCCTTGAGAGGAAACAGTAGAATGGCCTCCCTGGGGTACATTACGTTCAGCCACATTCTGCCCCAGTGTCATGCTGGGAAAGGTGTCTGTGATTCTGGAGTGGGAACCCCCATGTCAGTCCAAGAGATCCCCTGACTTCTGAGTTTACCAGATATGACTGCCCATTCATTTTTCATTTTTCTGGCCCTGAACATTCAAATAGCAAATCTCAAAGCAGGGCCATGATCAGATTGTTTCCAGTGGCTGAAGATCCTGGCTCCTCTGTGCTGATTCTAGCCTGCTTGGGCCCAGCCAGAGTCACCCCAACTGTCACAGCCTTCCTCCAGCCCTGCAGGGCTCCCCTGGGGGAGAAGGCTGCCACCACAACCCTGACTATTCTGAAAGTGGGCCTTGGGGAAAAGTCACCATTATGCTGACCTTCACAACCAGGGGCACTCACTCCTCCAGGGTCCAGGGAAGCAGGCTCTGACTTCCCTACTGGGAGCAGCTTGACAGACACAGGCCCTCTGCTCACACAGGAGAGCCGGCCTCCCTTTGTGAGTACTTGGTCTCCAACCCTACTGACAGGCCGGTGCGGTAGGCTCAGTGGCTTCACCTCCCTGAGCCTCTGTCTCCTCATCTAGGACAGGGCGGGAGCAGTGCCCCTCGCGGAGGCTGGAGGAATGGCGTGTCTCGTGGTCCCCAGTTGATAAATGGCAGCGGCTCTTAAGCGCCAGTCTCCAAAACCCCCCAAAGATTACTCTAGCACAGGGACAGAGGGCCGAGGGAGCTGTGGTCCCATCCCCAGAGATCCGGGGCCACGGCTGCTGGGGCCATCCAGTCTCACAGACGCGGACAAAGCCCAATCACTGCAAGCTGCTGCAGAGATCCACAAGAGTGGTGCCTCCGGGAGGAAAATGTCCCGACGCCACCCACAGGGTGGACCCAGTCCCCGTAATAGACTCCACCACATGAGACACCTCAGCCTCCCTGCGACCCTGAAAGGCGTGGGAGGAGCTTGGGCTGTAGAGTCCGAACAGGGTTCAGATCCTGGCTTACTGGGCTCGTGCCTTGGTCAAGTGTCTTCCCATCACTGAGCCTCAGTTTCCCTCTTTTGGGGAAGACAATGTGCTTAAATAAAGCTCCAGTGAGATGGTTGAGTGTCATGGCCTTGCACATGCGAGCCCCTACTCACCAGTGAGCTCTGCACCCCTGCATTCCTCCCACCAACCCAGAGCACTGGGGAGCACCCTACGCCTTTTGGAAGAACATGGAGAAAGGCTGCTTAAAAGGCTAGACAGGCTGGAAGATGCTGAGTTAAGGCTCCCCATTGACAAGTGTCAGTCAGGCAAACGTCTGCTGAGCGTGCAGCCGTGGACTATCTCAGGAAGAAGAGGACGGAAGGAAGGTAGCAGCGCCAACCACGTCCCCCCATTCGTGGAACCACTGGACATTGTGGACAGCCCACTGTCGCCGCACCTTATCCTTGGGCACCAGGGCAAGAAGACAAGAAGAAAGGTGGAGAAGAAGGGCCAGAGGACCCAGCTCTGGAAAGGGAGGCTCCATCTCCAACTCCAGACAGGTCGCAGCTCAGAGCAGGAATCCAGATCAAAGGGGGAGATGTCCCCTGGGCACGAGGAATGTCATCACAGAAAGGTTCGCTGTCAGATCCTGCCCCGACTCCTAGGACATCTCTGGTAGTGGCTGGGGAGGAAAGCACCTGGCGGCAGCCCATCTCGAGTCCTCGGAGCACCCTGCTTCAGCATGGGGTTATGCCATGTTGTGAGGGACTCGGCAGTGTTCCGGTAACAGTGAGAATCCTAGAGCTTTCCATAAATGAGAGCAGATTAGTCATGACCTGTGACATCCTGCTCACTCACTGCACTGCAAGCCTCTTTCTGAATTGGTGGGGGCTGGAGGGAGGCGATCTGGCCCGTGGGCTGGGCATTGGGCGAGCTGGGGCCTCATCTGCGCCAAGGCTCGTGGTGGGGCTGGGGTCAGCCTGGAACCATCATCTGTCACCCAGGTGTGCTGGGGAAAGGCTGAGATCTGTAACCTCTGAGGACTTGGGGGGCCAAGCAAATGCTGTGGCTTTTTACCTAAAGAGGAGGGGCTGACGGGCAGCTGGCCTAGACGGCCATAAGACTCCCACCTGCCCTGAACTTGAGCCTCTGTACAACAGGCACAAGGTGGTCATCAAGAACTGTTCCTTCTCAAGTGGAGGACTGAGGGGCAGGGAGCCACACGAGCCTGCCTCGGAGGCACCTGAGCTTACTTACGCTAGGACGGACCTGCTGCCGTGAATGAGTGCATCCCCCCCGCCGCCCCCCTCCAGGTGTCTGGTGCCATGGGGCCGTGTGCAGCGACCTAGGACTGGCAGCAGGGAACAGCAAAGGCGGTCCTAACCTTATCTGACCTTATAAATTGGGTTACATTCCTGTTTGGCCAATGGGCCAGGAAAGTGATGACCCAGAGAGACACCATGCTGCGGGGGTGAGCAGGTGTTTGAGGACCACGTGGACACAGGAAATCATCCTGGTGAAAGAGGAAAGGGTGAAAAGGAGAGACAGAAAGATGGAAGCCTCCCCCGCAAATAGGTTAAACTTCTCACTCTGGGAGCTGTACCTTCCCCTGCAAAGGCTCCCTTTGCAAAGGGACGCCAGGTGGGAGAGAAGGCAGAGGAGCAGCCCACAGGGAGATGGCAGGGGTCCAGTGGGGGCCAGCAGAGGAGGCATCCGGTGGAGAGGACACAGCAAACAGAGGAATTCAGCTGTGCCCTAGTGAATGAGAATGGTGCGCACGTCCCCCGCCCCCCGCAACAAACACCCCCCAGGCCCGACATGCAAGACTGCCCACAGTTCTGTGTGCCCTTGTAATTGGATTCACCATGGACTATTTGGGCTGGATGGCATTTTTTGTTAAACATGTTGGCTTCACATTGGGTAAGTGCGTGTGCCCTGGTTTTAGTCACCCCCTGACACTCACTGATGGAGGCTCTGGGGGCGTCGTGTTCATAGACCTGGCAGCTCCAGATATGCCCCAGATGTGTCTGCAGCTTGATGTAGGAGGTGTGGGAAGAGCTGGGATCGGAGCCTCCTGAGCCAATGCTCACAGAGTCCGAGATGCTCTTGCTTCCTCCGAGTGTCTGGTTGTTCGCAGCTGTTGCTAAATCTCACCCCTTTTCTTCTGAAGCAGGGGACGTCTGTATGCCACGCTGGGGCCCAACTGGCGGGTTCCGGTTCGGAATTCTCCCAGAACCCGGAGCTGCGTCTACAGGTATCCATTTGTTGTGTGCTCGTTTACTTGACAGCTAGCTCTAGGTTGCTCGGTGGACACTGAGCGCTGTGCTCGTGGCTGCTGGATAAGCCACAGTCCAAGAGGCTGCTGCCACGGGAGACAGAGACTGAACCGATAATCCCAGATCCCTGATGGTCCCAGAGAGGAGGTGGGCTGTTCTGCGAGGGGAGAGCAGGGAAGGCCTCTGTGGAGAAGTGACTGGAAGAGTGATAGGAATGATCCAAGTACAGGGAGGGGAGTGTAGGGATGAATGCACCCCAAGCCAAAGGGAGACAGGAAGAGCAGGATGGCTTGGGGAGTGAGAGAGGGGAGGGGTGGAGATGAGGCTGGGGAGATGCGACCCAGCCAGGGGGCAGGGGTGGGGGAGTGACAAACAGTGGCATAACCAGGTCATCATGGCCGTGGCAAGGAGAGCTGGAAAGCATGCAGGAGGAAGGCAAGGCTGGCCTGAGGGAGGCCAGGGAAGAGCACTGGGCAGTGGCTCAAAGGGAGAGCAAGTTCTGGCCTAAGGTGGGGGGAGTGAGATGGCAGAGAGGGGCAGTCAGGCATACGTAGGACTTGGGGTCGGTACATCCTTGGGATCGGGTAGGTTGCAGGGGTGGAGGGGAAAGAGGAGAAGCCCCCCCAGATCTCTGGTTCAGGCAGCCATGTGGATGGTGGTACCGTTTACCCACCTATGGAAGAAGAGCAGCTTGAGGAAGGGCACCCAGTTGAGGGAGGTGCCTGTGGGAGACACCTACCCAGTGACCGGAAGCCATCCAGAGCCTCGGGGCAGGTCCCAGCCGGTGCTGCACTTGGCTGTCTTTGCCTGTAGGTGGCGCCCGAAGCCCTGAGGCAAAGGCACTGGGCTTGGCGGCGCTCCCTGGTCCCGCTTCTCACTCCACCGCCACCTTCCCACACTTGCTCACTGCTCCTCCAGGCTCTGCCAACACAAGGAGGGGCTGCAGGGCCCCAGGCTCCCCAGGTGGAGAGGAAGGTAGAAGCTCGGGAGGGCCAGGAGGAAGCCACCACCGAGGTCAGGAGCAGGAGGCCGTGCTCCTGGGGTCTGGGTTACAAGAAGCTCTGCACCAAGCCTGGGGCCTGAGGCACTTAGAAAGGCAAGGGAGGTGAAAGTTTCCAGCTGTGGCCAGCGCAGGGCCACCTGCCCTGATCATGTTGAGTTCTCTGGCCTGGCACAGCATCATGAACTTGGCAGTGGGGAGCTGGGAGGGAGAGGTGCCTGAGCGCGGCTCCTCCAGGGCAGTGTCTGACTGGTGGTCTCCCCCCAGCCCCACGGGCCCGTGCATCTGTACGCTGGGGAGCTCGGCCACAGTGCCCACCATGGAGGGTCCTCTGAGGAGGAAAACTCTGCTCAAGGAAGGCCGGAGACCCGCGGTAAGTGCAGACCCACCTCTGTCCAGAGGCAGCAGGGCCCTTGGGGAGGGCCCTGGGCTCTGGCCCTGGCTATGCCACTGAGTGGGCAAGGGCCTCACTCCCCACATCTGTGAACTGGGATACAATAGTGCCTATGTCTCCGAGGACTCAGCAAGACTGTCACTTACGGCTGTGCACACAGCGAGCATGTGGTGACCCAGAGCTGTGACGAGGGCGAGTGGAAGCCCGCAGACCCCCGGGCGTTGGGTTGGAACTGCCCCTGAGAGGGCCTGCGCAGCCTGCGCCTGGTCCCCAGCTGCAGGTGCCCTCTCTCCCTGTGGCGGCAGCATCAGGAGGCCTTTGAGGCTCTACCACTTGTTCCTGGGTCACCTGTGCCAGACCCCCAAGTCACTGGCTCCATGACCTCCCCCCATGGCAGGGCCTCAGCCGCATGCAGGGACCCCTGAACTGTTACCACGGAGCATCCGTGCAAGGGTTTCCTACCAACAGACCGTGGGCTGCGTCTCCAGGAAGCATCCGCTACCATCTGCTCTGCCCTCCTGCTCCTGCTCTGGCCCTTGTCCGTGGAACCCCGTGAAACCACCCCCTCCTATCTGTGCCCACTGTGAAGGTGCCAGGGTGCCAGCCCAGCTGTCCCCTCCAGACACTGCTCTGTCTGCAGGTGCCAGGGGCTCATGGGTAAGGGGAGTCTTCAACCCCGGCCCTAGGCTGCCCTTCGTCCTTGGGCCCTGATTCTCACAGAGCATTCTGTGACATGGGGCCCTAGATCTGGCCTGTTGAACAGACCTGCCTGCTTCTCTCCCACACTCAGAGTTCAGGCCTCGGTCATTCTGAGTCAGGGCGAGACAGTGTCCTGCTAGCAGAGTTTTCCCAGATGTTGGTTGGCCCAGTAGTGAGTGATGAAGCCAGTCCAGTGGGTCATGGCCTGTATTTGTGAGCAAAATAGAGTAGAATGGAAAACAGTAGCATCCCATATGTATAATAAAGCTAAGTCCGTTTCAGGAAGCTTCTTTCAGTTGGACACGTACGTGCGTGTGTGTTATGCACATGTGTGGGTGTCGTCACACACGTCTGACAGCCCGTGCTGTCACGGTTGCCATCCCTGGAGCTGCATCCCGCGTGGAGAGGGGCTCTTGTGGGCTGTGATTCGGAACGGTTGGCCTCGCTCCTCTCAACCTTGTTCCTTGCAGGAGCCGGTACTTGCTTCAACTTTGTAAACCAAAAGGCTTGTTGAAGTGATTTTCCCTAAACCCAGGAGGAGAGCCCCCTGAAGAGGGAATCCCAGCCTTCCTGCCTAGAGAAACAGAAAGAATACCTGTAGCTCTGCCCTGTTGGCTTCTCCGCCTTTGAACCCTGCAGACTTCCCACCCGCCGCCATTCAGTCCCAGCCCGAGCACCCCAGTGTAGTTACTATGGTTCGACTAGGCTATGGTTTGGCATGTCCGTGTTTTGAAAATGTTTTTCCCCAGGACCTTCTTGGGCCCAAGTCACCTGAACACACAGAAATTAAGCCTTGGCACTGCCTTAAACAAGGTGAAAAAAATGCAAGGCTCTCGGAGTAAAGGAGCCAGAGAGGGGAGTCAGGGCTCAGAGCTCAGAGGCACTGATGAGGAGGCTCTCCCTCCCCCAGGCCCCGGCCGGAGGTGACACTGATGCCTGCGGGGCCAGGGGAAGAGATGAGGCCTGTGCTGGCACTGGTTGGCAGGAAGGGGACACCCTTCCACCCATGTGGCTGGGAATCAGGCGGGGAGGGGGGACTCCACCCCCCCCCCCCACCACATGCAGCGTTGCCACCCTGCCTCCCCTTCCTCCGTAGCTGTCCTCATGGACCAGGTACTGGGTCATACTCTCGGGATCCACCCTCCTGTACTACGGAGCCAAGTCCTTGAGGGGCACAGACAGAAAACACGTAAGTCCCAGAAGAGGACTCTCCATACTGGGACTTGAGGTGGTATGAGCTGGGGGGAAGGGGCAGGGGCGGGAAGGAACCTTTCCAGGCCCAGCTCGGCTTCCCCGGGGAGTGAGGGGTTATGGGCCTCCCGGTTATGCTGTTGTTCTTCCCCAGTATAAATCCACACCCGGCAAAAAAGTCTCCGTGGTGGGCTGGATGGTGCAGCTGCCTGACGACCCCGAGCACCCCGATATCTTCCAGCTGAATAACCCCGACAAAGGTAAGCAGCAGCCCCGGCGCTGGGTGCACACGACTTCCCTCCACCCTGTTTTCCTGGTCTGCTAAATGTGCATTTTGAAACAATAAGAACTTTGGGGGCTGCTGCTTTCCCTTTGCTTTAGGTTGTGATCAGAGGGCACCACACTAGTCCGTGAAAACTGCTTCGATCATGGTCAGTGTGACCACTGAGCCATGGGCATGGCACGTGGCTGCAGGAACCCTTTTGTGGCCTCACCTGTGGCTACTGGGGCTCATCACCTTTGAAGGTATAGCCTTAGGGTCTTGGAATAAATAATATAATGCTGCATAACGCAGGGACCATGTGGCTAGAAGGGTCTTGGGTCTTGGGAGACTTCAGAGACATCCCTGACATTACCTGTGCCATGAGACCCTCATGGTATCCCGGTCCAAGGCCAAATCAGAGAAGAGCCCTTTTACAAAAGCCCCAACTTTAACTTGTCTGGTCATCTCCCATATCTTCCTGGTTCCATCTCTCCCACGTGACCATGTTGCATGGAAGGAGAGGTTCTGGGCGCCATCTTGTTCAGAAGCCTCTTTGCATTGGCCTTGCTATCAAGGAAATGGCAATCAGAACCACAATGAGATATCACCTCACACCTATCAGAATGGCTAAAATCGGGGCGCCTGGGTGGCTCAGTGGGTTAAGCCGCTGCCTTCTGCTCAGGTCATGATCTCAGGGTCCTGGGATCGAGTCCCGCATCAGGCTCTCTGCTCAGCAGGGAGCCTGCTTCCCTCTGTCTCTCTCTCTGCCTGCCTCTCCGTCTACTTGTGATCTCTCTCTGTCAAATAAATAAATAAAATCTTAAAAAAAAAAAAAGAATGGCTAAAATCAGAAAGACAAGAAATAATGAGTGTTGGTGAGGATGTAGAGAAAAAGGAACCCTTGTGCATTGTTTGTGGGAATCTAAATTGGTGTAGCCACTGTGGAAAAGAATACGGAGGTCCTTCAGAAAATTAAAAATAGGAATACCATCTGATCCCATAATTCCACTACTGGGTAGTTACCTAAAGAAAATGAAAACACTAATCCAAAAAGATATTCACCCTTATGTTTATTGTATTATTGATAATGGAAGCAACCTAAGAGTCCTTTGATAGATGAATGGAGAAGGAAGATGTGATAACACACATACACATCACACACACACACACACACACACACACACACAGAGCCATAAAAAAGAATGAGATCATGCCCTTTGTGATAATGCAGATGGACTTAGAGGGTGTTATGCCAAGTGAATTAAGTCAGACTGAGAAAGACAAATGTGATATGATTTCCTTCATGTGGTGTCTAAAAACAGCAACAACAAAAAACCAAATGAATAAACAAAAAGCAGTATCAGATGTATAAATATAGAAGATAAACTGGTGATTTCTAGAGGGGAGGGGATGGGGAGATGGACAAAATGGGTGAAGGGGGATAGGAGATACAGGCTTCCAGTTATGGAATGAATATGTCATAGGAATATAGTCAATGATATTTTAATAGAATTGTATGGTGATCATAGTAACTGCGCTTGTGGTGAGCATAGCATAATGTATAAACTTGTTGAATCACTGCATCGTACACCAGAAACTAATGTAACATTTTGTGTCAACTATACTAAAAAGAAAGAAAGAAAGAAAGAAAGAAAAGGAATAGCTCATGCTTGTCTTCTTGGAAGCCCATGTCACATGACAAAACTCCAAAATACCGGGGTCTTGGGTTCTAGCCAGGCGAAGTCACTGGGACTGTCAGGCCTCCAAGCATCTTTACATCTTCTCAGGAATGTTCTAGTGCAAGGTTCACGTACATACAAATCACCTGTGGAGTTAGTAAAAATTCGGGTTTGGATTCAGTGGATCTGGGCTAGAGCCCAAGCTCCTGCATTTCTAACAAGCTCCCGGGTAATGCCGGTGATGCAGCCGTAGAGAGACCGCAGGGTTCCAGCGTTGTTAGCTGGGAAGTCAGAAAACAGGAAACCTCCAGTGGCCCAGGGACTGGAGAGGAGGGGAGTCAAGGTCTCTGCTCCACGTCTGAATGGTTGAATGCACGCACAGCTACACACACGTCATAGCGCGTCCCGGTCTGGTCACCCCTGGAATTTCTTCCTCAAGCTTCCAGGCTTGGGTTAGAAGTCCTCTTTCTTGAGGAAGTAAATGTTGGGCCCACAGGAAAGCACTGTCCCCAAGCAGAGGAATATACGATACAGAGGGTGGCCAGAGTCTGTGGATAGAATTCAAGGGGTTTGTGAACTTGAGTGCTGAAAAAAAAAAATCACATCTTTCTTTTCCTATGGACTCTCATGCCTTTATTTATGAGTATAGAACTACTAGAATGTTCACAACACCCATGATTTTATGTCCAAGAAAAACCACAGATATTTTCTTATCACATACAGTTGTAGATTTCTGAGTGGCTCACCTCTCTGGAATTAACAGAACAGTGTCAGACCTGCCCCTAGATCTCGGTACTTGTGCATTAATAGAGGAGCACATCTAGAACTGTATCACTCAAGTGTTTTTTAGTAGTTTGATAACTGCATTTCAGTGGTATTGATCTCTCTCTCTCTCTCTCTTTTTTTAAAATGCATTTGAAAATGTTATTCTGAGGAGGGTCCACAGGCCTCACCAGAGTCCAATGCACCGTGGCCCAGCAGTGGCTAAGAGCCCCGGTCCACAGAGACACCCCAGAGGCACCCAGGGTTCTGCCTCTGCAAGCCCCAAGCTTACACTGGGCAGCTCCTGACCTCCCTTGGTTTGGTTAACCTAAGTTCACGTTTATCTTCAGGCTCCCGTCACAGGCAGACCCTCCCATGAGACCCTCCCTCTTCCTAACCAATGGTTTCCTTTGCCCATCAGGCAATGTTTACAAGTTCCAGACTGGTTCCCGGTTTCACGCAATACTGTGGCACAAGCATTTGGATGATGCATGTAAAAGCAACAGGCCTCAGGTAAAGTCACCGAAACCCTGCTTGTCTCTGGAAACATCCTCTCCCACCCTTAGGACTAAGAGTCCATAGAAAACAGGGCTCCTTCCTTCCCTCAGAGCCTCTCAGCTATGTCCCCGGGCACTGTCTTTTGAGCAGCCTTTTTCCATGAGACAGGGCACCCTCTGCTCAGCTTAGAGCTAAGTCCGGCTCCAGACCAGAACTGTGAATCTGGTCCCATGTCTTTCCCACTAAGGGAAACAGCACCAAAACATCAGTCGGGCACAGTTGGGTGACAGATGCGATATGGCCCCAAGGCTGAGGATACAGCACCCAGTTAGACCATGTCCCCCAAAAGCTGATTTGTGGGCGTACTCCCCACTGACAAAAGGGCCTCCCTGCCACACAACCCTTAGGAATAATACTATCAGCTAATGCTGGGAGCCAGCCACGGCTGCTCCTCGGGGTATCTGCGCCAGCGGGACCGCTGGTCTGCACCTCCTCCAGGCCCGGGCACTGCGGGCAGTGTTTTACCTGCGGGAATCCAGCGCCCCGTGAGGCACGTTTCTCTAATTGTCTCCATTCTGTGCTGAGGACTCTGAGGCTTAGAGAGTGGCAGACACTCATCCAGGGTCCCAAGGTGAATGAGATCTAACCCCAGTCTGCCGGCCACCAAAGTCTGGACTTGCTGCCCCGAGCTCCCTACCCTCGCACTTCCCAGAGGGCCCCCAGCTTGCTCAGCCTCCCGCGGTTGAGCTGAAGGCCCGGGAGCACAGCCTCACTGTCGGGCTTCTGAGAGGCTTGGCTGCTCCAGCCCTCAGCACCCAGCGGGGCAGGCTGGACGTTTCTGCCCCTGGGAGTCAGGGCGGGGGGCAGCGTTTGGCTGCTGGTGCCAGGATGGGTGTTCCTGTCCCTCAGCTTCCCTGTCCGTGTTCCCCAGGGACCAGCCAGAAGAGGGCGCTGTGGAATGGGTCCCTCTCAGTCTGGGGACAAGGCAAGCCCCAGAACTTTGGAATAGGCTCCGCCAGCTTCAGGGGGTGCCATCTGGGAGGCACCAGCTCTGAGATGTGAGGGGGGCCTCAGCAAAGGCTGGTTCACACCAGGCATTGGGGTCTGGGAGGCTGCTGGCGACAGCACAGTCGCGGACTTCTGGGTCCCTCCGAGTGGTTCTCGGAAATCAGAGGGAAGTCTCGGTTTGGTCCTACTCAGGATTTTCATCTGTAACGTCACATGAGAACATACGTGACAAGCTGTTCAGATTACAGATGATGGGAAGCTAGAAAGCAGAAGTAGTAGAAAGTTATCGACAAAATAAAACAGTAGGAAAGACTGAAAGAGGGAAAAGGCAAGGTAGCACAGAGCAGCTTGAGGTAAACTGCATTTGAGTCCCCTTACTCACCTATCTGCCTGCGGGAATTTGTCCCGGTGATAGACTCACACGTGTCCACAAAGGTCTGTGTTCACTGCAGGGACACCTGGCTGGTTCAGTCTTGTAGGCGTCCAACTCTTCTTTCAGCGCAGGTCTTGCTCTCAGGGTCTTGAGTTCAAGCCCCACTTCGGCGTGAAGGCTACTTTAAAAAAAATATGTTCACTGCAGCACTGTCCTTGATAGAAAAAAACTGGAAACCTCTGTGACTGTCAGTAAATCCATATTGTGTGATATCTGGTAGCGATTAGAAAGACAGAAGCAGATCTGTGGGTGGTATCCTGAAAGGGGCCCTAAGATATAAGTAAAAAGCAAAGTCTAGGGGCACCGGGCTGGCTCAGCCAGTAGAGCCATGAGTCTGAGCCCCACGTTGGGCACAGAGATTACTTAAAAAATAAAAAAAATTAAAAAGCAGGGGCGCCTGGGTGACTCAGTGGGTTAAAGCCTCTGCCTTCGGCTCAGGTCATGATCTCGGGCTCTCTGCTCGGCGGGGAGCCTGCTTCCCTTCCTCTCTCTCTGCCTGCCTCTCTGCCTACTTGTGATCTCTGTCTGTCAAATAAATAATAAATAAAATCTTTTAAAAAAAATGTTTTAAAGCAAAAATTTAAAAAGCAAAAAGCAAAAATAAAATCTTAAATTTAAAAAGCAAATCTCATTTGTATTAAAATACATAAGCTTATTTATAATATATATGTTTGTCTCTGTATATGAGATTTCTAAAGCGATGTGCAGGAAGCTATCGTTCGTGGTGTCTAGAGTGCTTATGTATATTTTTTTACATTAAACAAACGTAACTACTCGTCTCCACAACAGGAAGGCCAGGGGTTTCAGCCGACAGTCACCTCAAGGTGATGCAAAGTAAACAAGGCCCCAGGTCACATTAAGAGAAGAGGAGTACCCTGACCTTTCCCAAACTAGTCACATTGGGTGTGTCTGAGGCTGCAGCAGGGAGCAGGAAACTGGGTCAAAAACCACTTGGCAGAGCAGGTGTTTGGTCAGAAGGACAAATGGATTGAACTTCTTTATGGCAAATGTGGTGTGCTGTGGCAAAGTTCTGCAACTTTTAAGTATTTTTGACCTAGCCAAGAGGAACCTTTTATTTTTTTCTACCTTTTTCCCCTTTTTATTTCAAATTTACTTCCCACCACATATTCCTACCCTGTGCTGCATGTGATCATAAAAAGCTAGCAGCAGCTAACGCTCCCACCCTGTGATGGCGTGCGGGGCCTGTGAGGAAAGAAAGCACAGAAACTCGTCTATACCCATGGAAAATCTCAGTGACTGGGACCAGTTTTCTTTTTGGTGGACTTGCATTTCTTAAAATTGTTTGTACTAACACTGAATATGCTTAAACCTTATTTATAACCTGTGTAAGGTGTAAACCACAGCTAGAAAAACACACTGCTCGCTGCCCGCCCAGCCTAAGGGCAGGACCTCCCTCCCCCAGGGACCTCTTCCTAACTCTGTGTGCCCCCCCATCTGCCTGCACCCCCTAACCACACTCCTGATTGATTTACTGTTTTTTTTTACAGTGTTAGCACACATATTTGATTCCTTCATGTATTGTCTGGAGTACATTTTTTAAAACATTTTTAAAAATAGAACCATAACGGGATATTTTCTTCTGTGACTTACTTTTCTCCTACAGTGTGTTCCTGAAATTCATCTGTGTCCATGTGTGTAGCTGTCATTCATTTATTTTTACTGATATTTTGTTTTATTAATTCTTCTGGCAGTGATCCCAGGAACGATTTCCTGCTTTTTGCTATTTTGAACAGTGCTGCTGGGACCATCCGTATAGCTATCTCCTGGTGCAAGGAGATGCATTTTTTTTTTCCCATTCATCACTTTGACCAAATTGACACCAAGATGGATTTGTTTTTGATGAAATTGCTTCTCATCAAATCTCCCGGAACCCTACAGCTGAGCCGGGTGGGGGAGCCTGGGGCAGGGGGCAGCTTGGAAGGGAGAGGGAAGCACACTGACCTTGGGCTGGTGGTCTGCCAGCAAAGGGAGCTGGGATTGTGTCCCGGGGACGAAGCTATGGGAAGATCTTGGGGATCCTAGCGCCCTGATCTCTCCTCCTGGTGCTCCAGCTTTCAGTTCCCACCACCCTCTCACCACCTACCCCTGCCCGCTGGTTTCCCGTCCAGAGGCTTAGGCCCATCCCTGCAGAACAGGCCTCCTCTCCGCTCCAAGGGCAGTTTTGTTCCGCACCAGGCTGGTAAACGAGAGCATGGGCTCTGGGCCATGGCCTGCCATTTGCTTGAGGTGGGCTTCCCCTCTCTAAGCCTCAGGGTCCTCATCTTTGTCATGGGGACACTTCCAGAACCTGCCTCCTGGGGTGTCATGAAGACTGGAGGACATGATGATGTCAAGTGCCTGGCACACAGTGGCTACTTGACAGACAGTGGCCGTGGTTCTGGCCAGGCCCTCTTTCCTACCTGCCCCACTCATTCACAGACTCGCTGGGAAGGCCCGATCCCTTCCCTTAGGGGCACCCCTTGTCCCATTCCCAAAGGTTGGAACTTTGACAAGAGGCTGAGCTTTCTCTTCCAGGTACCTGCAAACCTTATGTCATTTGAATAAGTCTCTGCAGGACTTGGCGTGACTTCAGAGGCTCCTGGGAGCCCAGCCTTGGACTGGTGGCGAAGCGCACGTCCTGGGCACAGGCTCTCGGCCAGCGCGCTGGGTGACTCACGGCCGGACTCGAGGGGCCTTGGCCGGCGGCCTCACGGCCCTGAGGGCTCTGCCAGCGCAGGGCCCACCTGCCAATCCCCAGCGACTCTCACGCTACTCATTCTTCAGCACCACCCCGCGAAGCCGCGGTTGGGCCCCAGACTCTGCACCCCACCCTCCCTCTCTGGGCCCTCGTCCGTCCACCAGCTGCTGCTTCGACTAGAGAGCATCCGGCCCACGTTGGGTCCCCCATGCTTTCTCCTGCACAAGAGTGGACAGTGTTAACCTGCATGAGGGGCCAGAGAGAAGGAACAGGCTATGGAGGAACAGGCTTTTTATACCCCAAGTGCACGGGGTCGCTCGCCCACAGGGCTGCCTCAGATTTTGTACAACCCCCAAAGCATCCTCTGCGTGTGCGTGCCATATACGTGTGCGTGCGAGCGAGTGTGAACTCTTCAAGAAACATGCATTTTGGCACAAGACTTGTGACATCACACCCTCCATTCGCTTTGAGGCCCTGCTTTAACCTGACGTGACAGCCTTGTCCACTGAGGAAGGTCAGAGTGAGAGCCCAGATTCCTCCTGTGTTAAGGGTTCCTTGCATTCTTTTACTGTAAACAAACAATGCCTTAAATTGTGTCTTGTTTTCTGTTCCAATGGGTGCTATTCATCTGGAAGGTCTGCTCTCTGGGCCCCCCGGGTCCCTTCCAGGCCTTGTTGCTGTTGGCTCTTCTGAGACAGGACCCGGCTTCACTGTGGACTGGGCTGGTCTGCTTGCTCCCTCCCGCCCCTCTCCTGCAGGGGCTGAAAGCCCTTGTCCTCTTCCCCCAGACCATGCCAGAGTGGGAAGTTGTGACGGTTTCTCCCGGCTTCCTAGGAAGCCCTCGCAGGCTGCCGCGCTCACACACACAGAAGCGCTGTGCACAGCCTGTCCCGCAGGCCGAGGTTTGCTCCCATCATCTACTGCCAGGGCGGGGCCCACCGGCATTCCTGGTTCCACTGGGGAGCTGAGTGACACTGAGGCCTTAAGCTCCCCCAGTCTTGCCCCCAAACGCAGTCACCAGCAAGTTCTCCACATCCAAGTCCAAGGGCACAATTGTTGATGACCATGGTGACAAGAGAGCAAAGCCCCGGGGAGTGAACGGTCCCAGCTCTGCATTCAGTTAAGCGCTCTTCTCATGGACAATGTCCTTTATCTGTCACTGTCTGTCTTATTTTTAAGTGACTTTTATTTTGCACAAATACATCTTTATTCAAAACAATGAAAACTTAGCTTTATTTATGGTAGCTTTACCACCATAGCTTCTTTCCCTCCCTCCCTCTCTAATCTGGGTGCCCGAATTCTGAGAAGGAGACCCTGAAATGGTTTTCTGAATTCCTGGGTCCTTGTTGCTGTCATGGTTTCCGAGCTCACACCGATCAGACATCCAACCATCCCTAAGAGTTTCTGGGCAAGATGCTTCAAAACAACATCTTCACCAGTAAACTGTGATAGGTGAATTTTAAAACTACCAAAGGACCCACCACTGTATTTTGATCAAACGGTGACAACTTTCCTGAAAATTCCAATGAATTGAATCTTATTTTATGGTTGAGGCTTAGTGTGTCCAGCAACTAACCCTCCTTTGGAGCAAAGTCTAGAATATTTTTGTGCCAGGAGAAGCTCCAGGTGGTAAAGCTGGTGCCATCCCACCTTGGCCGTGAGTGCTCTGCATGCCTGCGAACAGCCGGGGGACGGCTGCGCGCCCCCAGTTCACGCCAGTGACTGCTCAAACGGGCATCCGGAGGCCAAATGACAACACCAAACACTCCAGCAGCTCTCACCAGAACCATGCAGTGTTAACGCCGCTTTAACCTACACTGATCTGATTCTGCCTGCTAATATCTTTTGAAGTCTTAAGTTTGGAGGAAAGCACCAGAATGGAAAATCAGCCACTTATTTTCCCTGGATTTCTCCACTCCTCAACTCTCCTGGCTCCTCTCGTATGAAATACTATAGAGGCCAAACCAAGGACCTCAGAATTTCAGGCTCCCTTCAGTCAGTGCATTTTCTGCCTTTACACACTTTTCTTATCTTTTGCAAAAATTTTCTTCTGAGCTGAATTTGAAATAGCACCATTGCAATTCTTTCCAAAATGTTTAGTCTTCTCACTGATTGAGACTGATCCCACATCCCCTCCTAGAAACATTTGTAGCTTGGACTCTTGAAGAATCTGCATAGACCTTGTTGGCACAGGCCTTTAAAGCTGGTAAGAACCTCAAACGTACGGGAAGAGTCCCAGAGACAGGCCAAAAGATACTGGCTTCTCCCAGGCCGGACGTGGGGCCAAGCATGTAAGTGCTGATTTATCTTCCCAGCATTGGTTTGTCCCTCAGGCAGCGGGTGAGGAGGCCCTGAGGCTGGCACAGAGGAAGCCAGGTACAAATCCCAAAAGGGAAAAGTCCATGGCTGTATTCTCACCCCGTAGGGAAGCATTTCTGGTTTATGTTCTTTGACTGTCCATAATGCATCAATGTTTGTGAAACCATCGAAGGTGATCAGTGTCTTGCATGCGTATGCTGGTTGTTGGTTGTTTTGTTTTGTTTTTTGTTTTTGAGCAAACAGATCATGGTGCCCCAAAATGAAAACTGTAGAATTCTGTCTAGAAATCGTAGAATAGGTAGTTGGTATCATTATGATTCCCCAAGAACCTCATGCACCTCTCCCTGGGAATAATTTCTGGCCCTCTCAGTTGGAACATGTTTTATAACTCAAGGTCAACCAAGTGCATTCTGACAACTGAAATGCTTCATGGAGGATTGATTCAGTGGGGAGCAGTAGAAATAGTGTTCTGAGTGTGCCCAGTGAGAGAGTGCGGCCTCCCTTTCCTTCCTGAAGAAGCCCATTCATCACCCTGTCTTGCCGTGGAATCTAAAGAGGAAGATACTCAAAGGCATTCTGTTTAGGAAAGAACCCACTCTCTCTTGCCAATGAGTTAATAAAGCTTTTGATTTTCCTTACCAAGATTTCCTTTCATCTTCTTCCTCTCCCACCTCCCGAGCCCAAGACGTGTATCTTTTAGGATGCCATTTTACAAGTGGAAAACGATCCATGAAAATGGGAAACCTTTCACAAGTGCGGTCTGATTTCATTCCGCAGGTGGGGTCTACAGCTCAGCACCCCCATCGCTAATGCTTATAACAAGGTGAACATTGCTAAAAACACAACCTAACTTACTTTGCGTGACTTCATAAATGGCTTTACCCAGCCTCACATCATACTGATATGTTGTGTGATGTCATTTTTTACAGAGAAAAAAAAAAGTTACAAGAGTCCCTTGGAAATAACATTCTCTGCACAAAACCACCTATTCGTGCATTCATTCATTCATTCATTCATGACTCTAGTGAGTGCTTCCTGTGTGCCAGGCTGTGGCTGGGATATGCCGTCAGTGGCTGAGAACAAGCAGAGCTGGTCCTTGCCCTCCTGGAGCTGACCACACTCCACAAGCAAACAGTCCTCACCATGGCATCTCCTCCGGCAAGACCCTGCCTCTCTCCTAACACTGGGTAGAGACCCTGTGCACATTCCTCCAGGAAGGGTTCAAAACACTCATCAGACTGAATGGCCTCTCGATCTGTGAGTTCACCTGCAAGGAGAACTAGACGGAGTTGCTGTCCTAGAGGCTGGTTGTCGCAGAACACCCAGTCACAGAGCTATGGCCGGGCGCGCTGCGGAGGACTCTGAGATGGAATGAGAAAGCAGGGTCAGAACGTTCACAGTATTTACTCCAGAGGCTTTTCAGTTTTAATTTCAGTGTTAAATGCAAATACAGCATAAGCGAGAGCTGCAATTCCTTGGGTGTTGGGAACTTGTACTGTGGACCACCTTGGAGTCCTGAGCTGCACAAGGGTGGGTATGCTGGGGGCAGCCCCAAAATCCCCGTTTGCAGCAGCGTGAAGAATCATCTGTCCGTTCTATAATCATTCATCTCTTTACCCATTTCTGAATGACTGTGACCATTCGGTAATGAAATATTAGTCATTAATTTATTAGTATGGTATAATCTTTAATAAATTTCGTGCCAAAATGCATGGTTTTTCACTTAGCATTCAAAATGTTGCGTAGAGAGTAGTTTTCAATTTATTATGTATTCCTCAAAGTAAGTTGAAAAATCAGTTTCTACATTTTAATTTGTTTCTTGTTAAATCTGTTGCACTCTCCCGGGCTTTTTTTTTTTTTTTTTCCCCAGCAGACGCCCCCCTGCATGCAGTTGTGTAAGGACTTTCTCTAATTCTTGTGAATTGTCTCACCCGCAGTAACCACTGAACATCAGCCCTCTGTGGGATTCTTTAGATTTTTGGTGAAGTATTTTGTTACCTCAGTCTTGTATCAAGTTGCTGTATTTTTCAGCTTGTTACACTGATAATTGTTTCACTAATTAAATACTTTAATGTACAAACATCTTTGTTTACTTTGAAATTAAATGTGTTTTCCAATGAACATTGCTCAACTTATTATTCACGTGCATTTGCTTAGTAAACTGTTGCTGTGCCAGATCCAGAGATCAAGGAGGTCTGGGGCGCTCAGAGCCCGGCTCAGATGTTACTAGAACATAAATGACAAATGGGAGCAATGCCCTCGGGAAGGGACAGAGTCAGTGCTTTGGGCACTCAGAGAGGGAGATGGAGGATCTGGGGAGGGGACAGGGGCATTTGGAGATTCATGTCAGAGATTGCTGAACACATGGAGGACGGGGGAGGCAGGAAGACAGAAAGGAGAAGGAGCGGGACGAAGTTAGGAAAAGCAGCCAACCCAGTCTCACTGAATAGAGGATTTGGGGGAGTAATGGGATCCAGGTCTGAAAAGATATGTTGGGGGAGTTCAAGATGTAAGGCAAAAACCAGAAACCCACTCTAGTTTGCTTAAGGGGGGACTTTCTTACAAGGCTGTCTCATGGAAACGTCTGGGAGGACCAAGGTGGAGTCTCACCCGGCTGGAAGGAGAAGTGGGAAGCCTCCTACCTCTTTCTCTCTCCCCTTCATTCTCTATCCAGACTGGCTTCTCTGCTGGAATGTGCAGCAGCCAGGAGCCCAGGCGTTACAGCGAAAGCGTTGGGAAAGTCATCAAGGGGTGTGTGCCAGTGACCGGATCCAAACTGATCACGGGAGCCCTGGCCCTGCCTGCCTCAGTTTCCAAAGCTACAGTGGCTGATTCTCCAGCACAGGCTCCCACACACACTCCTCAGGCTCTCCTCCAGCTCCCCAGCCTAAGCCACTACAAGCCCTGCTTGCTGAGGCGCCCTAACTTACCTCCTCCTCACGATTTGGATGGCACAGTGACCCCTCGGCTTGACCCAGGTAGGGACGCTGCCCTCAGCCCCAGTGCAGTGCTCAAGGGCTCTGAGACGGATGCGTCTGACTTGGGGAGGAGGTGAGGACGGTGGGGTGCAGCGGCCGTCACACCGGTGGAAAGAGTACATCACATCCAGTCGAGTCTCGAACCCACGACTGGTCACCTGCAGAACACCAGCCCCTCATTCTCACTGCGTCAGGCGCCACGAACGGCCACCAGGAGACAGCAGTACTTCCATTTAATGGGTGTAGAGATCCGCGAGCGAACGCAGACTGCCGGAAAACGTCTATTTAGCCTTGAGGGCAGGTATCCTACCCCTGCGCGTCGCCCGCCGGGGCCTGCAGCCCGCGCAGGTGAGACGGTGTGGGCCGGGCCGTGTCGTGGGCGGGGCTTGGGGAAAGCGGGCTGTGGGCGGAGCCCTGTCCAAGCTGGGTTGAAGGCAGCAGGAGTGAGCGAACCCTTGTCCTGGGGGTTTTAGAGAAAAAGGGGCTCCGTGCCCGCGGACGGGACACAGGGAGGGGCGGCCCCCAGAGGGACGCTGCGACGTGAGAAACGGCCAGGAGGCACTGAGGTGTGGAGGGACGACGCTCTCGGGAGCTGACCCTTTGGGTGAGGGCAGGGGCTGCGCGGAAGCTCAGTAGTGGAGGAGTAGATGGGCGGGGCCTGGGCCGGGGCTGAGGGGCTAGGAGCGGGAGGGGCGCGGCTTCAGGTCCGACGCGCTGAGGACAGGGTGGGCGTTTTGGGTGTCTGGGCCCAACCGAGGTGAGGAGAGCCCACCCGGGACCCAGTGGGGCCGGCGTGGGGAGGGCGTGCCTGGACCTAGGGGCTGGGGCGGGACCTAGACCCGGCTGAGGAGCGAGGGGAGGGCTGGGCTGAGGTTCGGGGCGGGGGCGGGGCGGGGCCTAGGCCTGGCCGAGGAGCCCGGGTGGGCGGGGCTGAAGTTCGGGGCGGGGGAGGGGCGGGGTCTGGACCCAGTTGCGGGGCAAAGAGCAGGCTGGGCTGAAGTTCGGGGTGGGGCTGGGGCGGGGCCTGGGGCCGGCGGTGGCGCGCGGGGCGGGGCATGGGCTGCGGCGTGCGAGCCGAGCGGCCGGCCGAGCCCCGCCGAGGCCCGAGCCCACCCGAGTGCGCCCGAGCCAGCGGCCCCCGCCCGGGGCGATGGAGCCGGAGCCCGGCGGGGCGGCCGCTGCGCTTCTGCGGCAGAAGAGGGCGGCGCTGCGGCGCAGGGGGTGCAGCTTCGAGAGCCCCAGGTACCGCGGCCGGGGAGGGGTGCGGCCGGGAGGGGCGGAAGCGGGGAGCCGGCCACGTGGTGGGTGGGGGACGTTCTGGGGGGCACCGAGGGCTGTGAGGCCGCGGCGCGGTAAGGGGTCTCTTCGGGGTCTGAGGGGATCCGGCGAGGAACCTGGGCCGAGCGGCCGGGGGTCGAGGGAGGGCTGGGCCGTCCGCGCGTCAGGTGCGGGAGGGGGTCGCCCCAGAGAAGAACCAGCGAGTGTCGGGAACCCAGACCCGACGAGACGCCCCCAAAGCGTCGGTGCTGAGGCAGGCCCCGAGCAGAGCCGGGCTCCAGGCGGGTTTCGGACTCTAGGGAATGTGCCGTGCCGCCTTGAGCATCTTCTAAATGCTCAAGGACAAGGTCGGGAAATAGCCCCCTGAAGTCCCAGGGAGGTCTCCCTCCTGCGGGAGCCTCTCTGCGCTGCCCCCAGGACCCAGGCCGGCGCCAGCCTCCCCAGCCTGGCTCCGCAGGTAACGCACACCTGCTGCCTCGCAGCCCCGCCCATCCTGACACCTTGTGGCCCCCCAACACGCCGGGTCCCCGGGGCCCCTCCGACCCGTGGACGCCTTTCTTCTGCCGGGGGAGCCCATGCTCACCCCGGTCCCCCTCGTTTGGCCGGGGGGAACTCTCCTGAAACTGTTCTGTTGGGTTCCTTCTCCGTGGAACCTTGCTCCACGGACACGCCTTCCACCCGCCCCGCTCTGCCAGACCCATTCTCTCAGCGGGCATTTTCTTAACTCCGTGTGCCTGCTCGGGCTCCAGCCTCCCGGGAGCCGGCCCTGCCCTTTTCCAGCCCCCGCCCCCCTTCCAGACGACTCCAGGAGCCTCCCCACCAGACTTTCTGTCTTTATTCTTCCACCTCTAAAGACCACAACCTCACTGGCCGCTGGAGGGGTCTTAGCACGACCCCCCTCTCCAGGAGTTCTCCATGTCCCACGGCTGCGATGGGGACGGGTGGGGACAAAGAGAAAGATAGGGGCCCTCACTGAGGCCGCTTAAAGACTCTGGCCCTCACTGAGGCCGCTTAAAGAGAATCAACAGCTAGGCTGACAAACCTGGATGCTTAATATGAGGTGGCAGGCCCTTGCCCTGCTCCCCTCACCCTTAGTGACCTGCTCCCAGCGGTACTGATGAGAGTGTAAGCCTCATCCCCGCCGGGACCATCCGGGCCTGTTCACTACTCTGTCCCCAGAGCCTGCCTCAGGCCTGGCTAGCACGGACGTTTACTACCTATTGAATGAATAAATGCCTGACCAGCTGGTAATTCTTTCCCTGTGCTGTGCTTTTTCTCACCTGTGCCTTTACTCCTGTCATGCTCTTTGCTCTACTTAGGAGAGTGTTTTTGGCTAAGACCTGCTCCCTCTTCCTCTGGGAGGTCTTCCCTGAACCCCGGGCTGAGCTCTGTGCTGTGTCAGGAATCTCTGTATGTATCTGCTATTTCATGTCCCACTGTGTGGAACTACCTGGATAATAGTCTCCCCCACTAGACGGGGAGAACAGGGCAAATAAGTTCTCTGTCCTTCTGTTGCTTATGCTTGCTGCTGGCGCACAGCGGATGGGAAAAAATGTACCGAGGGATGAGGCTGAAGAGATGAGCCAAAAGCTGAATCCAGGCCTGAGGTAGAACATTTAGGTCAGAGCTGTCCAACAGAACTTGCCACAATGACGGAAACATTCTATTATTTGTGCAGTCGGATACCGCAGCCACCGGCCACCTGTGGCTCTCAAGCCCTGTTGAAATATGGCTGGTGCAACTAAGGAACTGAATTTTAGACTTTGTTGGCCTTTAAATTAAATAGCCACGTGTGACCAATGTTTATGATTTTGGATAGCGCCAGTTTAGGAAACTTTGCTCTTCCTCCAGCTTCTCACTTTTACCACCCCACCCTTTGTCTCCATGACCTCATACCTGAAAGACAAAATGACTTTTAGAGGTTTTCTTCTCTATTTAGAAGTCCGTGGACATATCGTATAAACCTTAGAAATAATCTTTGCCAGTTTTCTGATTATAAAAATAACTTCTTTATTTACAATTTATAATTTATTTAACCCATTTTTTAAAAGAGTTTATTTATTTGACAGAGAGTGCACAAGCATGGGGAGCGGCAGGCAGAGGGAGAGGGAGAAGCAGGCTCCTCACTGAGCAAGGAGCCCAACACGGGGTTCGATCCCAGGACCCTGGGATCATGACCTGAGCCGAAGGCAGACGCTTAACTGACTGAGACATCCAGGCGCCCCATTAACCCATTTTTTGTTATTGTACCTGCTGTGTATGACCAGTTTTCACTCTTACTAAGTCACATCAAATCTGTGTGCATTCGTCTGTGTATAAAGAGGTAACTTCCTTAAGATAAGTTTATGGGGGCGCCTGGGTGGCTCAGTGGGTTAAAGCCTCTGCCTTCGGCTCAGGTCATGATCCCGGGGTCCTGGGATCGAGCCCCGCATCGGGCTCTCTGCTCAGCAGGGAGCCTGCTTCCCCCTCTCTCTCTGCCTGCCTCTCTGCCTACTTGTGATCTCTCTCTCTCTGTCAAATAAATAAATAAAATCTTTAAAAAAAAAAAAAGATAAGTTTATGGAAGTGATGGAAATAATTGGATCTAAGAAAAGGGACATTTTAAAGGCTTCCGAA